ACCCCTGATTCTTAAATCAAAGCTTTGACAGATGTTGAACTCCGAGGATGAGGCCTTGAACTGATGGCGCGCCCATGATTTTCAGATCACCGCCTCTTAGTGAGCTTGAACTCCGGAGGTGGGGCCTTGGACGCCCGTTGTTTTTTTACCAGAACTCTTACAAATCTTGAACTCCGAGGGTCGGGCCTTGGCTTGATGGGGCAACCCTGCCTTCTAAATCACAACCCTTACAGATCCTTGAACTCCGAGGGTGGGGCCTTGGACTCTGATGGGGCGGGGCACCCCTGACTTTTAAATCAGAACCCTTACAGATCCTTGATCTTTGAGGGCGGGGCTTTGGACTGATGGGGCACCCCTGATTCTTAAATCAAAGCTTTGACAGATGTTGAACTCCGAGCATGAGGACTTGGACTGATGGAGCGCCCATGATTTTCAGATCACCGCCTCTTAGTGAGCTTGAACTCCGGGGGTGGGGCCTCGGACGCCCCTGGTTTTTTTAATCAGAACTCTTTCAAATCTTGAACTCCGAGGGTGGGGCCTTGGACTCTGATGGAGCGGGGCGCCCCTGATTTTTAAATCAGAACCCTTACAGATCCTTGAACTCCGAGGGTGGGGCTTTGGACTGATGGGGCACCCCTGATTCTGAAATCAAAGCTTTGACAGATGTTGAACTCCGAGGATGAGGACTTGGACTGATGGAGTGCCCATGATTTTCAGATCACCGCCTTTAGTGAGCTTGAACTCCGGGGGTGGGGCCTCGGACGCCCCTGGTTTGTTTAATCAGAACTCTTTCAAATCTTGAACTCCGAGGGTGGGGCCTTGGACTTTGATGGGGCGGGGCGCCCCTGATTTTTAAATCAGAACCCTTACAGATCCTTGAACTCCGAGGGTGGGGCTTTGGACTGATGGGGCACCCCTGATTCTTAAATCAAAGCTTTGACAGATGTTGAACTCCGAGGATGAGGACTTGGACTGATGGAGCGCCCATGATTTTCAGCGCCTCTTAGTGAGCTTGAACTCCGGGGGTGGGGCCTCGGACGCCCCTGGTTTTGTTTAATCAGAACTCTTTCAAATCTTGAACTCCGAGGGTCGGGCCTTGGGTTGCTGGGGCACCCCTGCCTTCCTTCTAAGTCGCAACCCTTACAGATCATGAACTCCGAGGGTGGGGCCTTGGACTCTGATGGAGCGGGGCGCCCCTGATTTTTAAATCAGAACCCTTACAGATCCTTGAACTCCGAGGGTGGGGCTTTGGACTGATGGGGCACCCCTGATTCTTAAATCAAAGCTTTGACAGATGTTGAACTCCGAGGAGGAGGCCCTGGACTGATGGAGCGCCCATGATTTTCAGATCACCGCCTCTTAGTGAGCTTGAACTCCGGGGGTGGGGCCTCGGACGCCCCTGGTTGTGTTTAATCAGAACTCTTTCAAATCTTGAACTCCGAGGGTGGGGCCTTGGACTCTGATGGAGCGGGGCGCCCCTGATTTTTAAATCAGATCCCTTATACAGATCCTTGAACTCCGAGGGTGGGGCTTTGGACTGATGGGGCACCCCTGATTCTCAAATCAAAGCTTTGACAAATGTTGAACTCAGGATGAGGACTTGGACTGATGGAGCGCCCATGATTTTCAGCGCCTCTTAGTGAGCTTGAACTCCGGGGGTGGGGCCTCGGACGCCCCTGGTTTTTTTGATCAGAACTCTTTCAAAGCTTGAACTCCGAGGGTCGGGCCTTGGGTTGCTGGGGCACCCCTGATTTCTAAATCACAACCCCGAGGGTGGGGCCTTGGACTCTGATGGAGCGGGGCGACCCTGATTTTTAAATCAGAACCCTTACAGATCCTTGAACTCTGAGGGTGGGGCTTTGGACTGATGGGGCACCCCTGATTCTTAAATCAAAGCTTTGACAGATGTTGAACTCCGAGGAGGAGGCCCTGGACTGATGGAGCGCCCATGATTTTCAGATCACCGCCTCTTAGTGAGCTTGAACTCCGGGGGTGGGGCCTCGGACGCCCCTGGTTTGTTTAATCAGAACTCTTTCAAATCTTGAACTCCGAGGGTGGGGCCTTGGACTCTGATGGAGCGGGGCGCCCCTGATTTTAAATCAGAACCCTTACAGATCCTTGAACTCCGAGGGTGGGGCTTTGGACTGATGGGGCACCCCTGATTCTGAAATCAAAGCTTTGACAGATGTTGAACTCCGAGGAGGAGGCCCTGGACTGATGGAGCGCCCATGATTTTCAGATCACCGCCTCTTAGTGAGCTTGAACTCCGGGGGTGGGGCCTCGGACGCCCCTGGTTTTTTAATCAGAACTCTTTCAAAGCTTGAACTCCGAGGGTCGGGCCTTGGGTTGCTGGGGCACCCCTGATTTCTAAATCACAACCCTTACAGAGCTTGAACTCCGAGGGTGGGGCCTTGGACTCTGATGGAGCGGGGCGCCCCTGATTTTTGAATCAGAACCCTTACAGATCCTTGAACTCCGAGGGTGGGGCTTTGGACTGATGGGGCACCCCTGATTCTTAAATCAAAGCTTTGACAGATGTTGAACTCCGAGGAGGAGGACCTGGACTGATGGAGCGCCCATGATTTTCAGATCACCGCCTCTTAGTGAGCTTGAACTCCGGGGGTGGGGCCTCGGACGCCCCTGTTTTTTTAATCAGAACTCTTTCAAATCTTGAACTCCGAGGGTCGGGCCTTGGGTTGCTGGGGCACCCCTGCCTTCCTTCTAAGTCGCAACCCTTACAGATCATGAACTCCGAGGGTGGGGCCTTGGACTCTGATGGAGCGGGGCGCCCCTGATTTTTAAATCAGAACCCTTACAGATCCTTGAACTCCGAGGGTGGGTTTTTGGACTGATGGGGCACCCCTGATTCTTAAAGCAAAGCTTTGACAGATGTTGAACTCCGAGGATGAGGACTTGGACTGATGGAGCGTCCATGATTTTCAGATCACCACCTCTTAGTGAGCTTGAACTCCGAGGGTGGGGCCTTGGACTCTGATGGGGCGGGGCGCCCCTGATTTCTAAATCCCAACCCTTACAGATCTTGAACTCCGAGGGTGGGGCCTTGGACTCTGATGGAGCAGGGCGCCCCTGATTTTTAAATCAGAACCCTTACAGATCCTTGAACTCCGAGGGTGGGGCTTTGGACTGATGGGGCACCCCTGATTCTGAAATCAAAGCTTTGACAGATGTTGAACTCCGAGGATGAGGACTTGGACTGATGGAGTGCCCATGATTTTCAGATCACCGCCTTTTAGTGAGCTTGAACTCCGGGGGTGGGGCCTCGGACGCCCCTGGTTTGTTTAATCAGAACTCTTTCAAATCTTGAACTCCGAGGGTGGGGCCTTGGACTCTGATGGAGCGGGGCGCCCCTGATTTTTAAATCAGAACCCTTACAGATCCTTGAACTCTGAGGGTGGGGCTTTGGACTGATGGGGCACCCCTGATTCTTAAATCAAAGCTTTGACAGATGATTCTGAAATCAAAGCTTTGACAGATGTTGAACTCCGAGGATGAGGACTTGGACTGATGGAGCGCCCATGATTTTCACCGCCTCTTAGTGAGCTTGAACTCCGGGGGTGGGGCCTCGGACGCCCCTGTTTTTTTAATCAGAACTCTTTCAAATCTTGAACTCCGAGGGTCGGGCCTTGGGTTGCTGGGGCACCCCTGCCTTCCTTCTAAGTCGCAACCCTTACAGATCATGAACTCCGAGGGTGGAGCCTTGGGTTTATGGGGCGCCCCTGATATCAGGTTTATCGGGTTTATCGGGTTTCTCGGGTTTCTCGGGTTTCTCGGGTTTCTCGGGTTTCTCGGGTTTCTCGGGTTTCTCAGGTTTCTCGGGTTTCTCGGGTTTCTCGGGTTTCTCGGGTTTCTCGGGTTTCTCAGGTTTCTCGGGTTTCTCGGGTTTCTCGGGTTTCTCGGGTTTCTCGAGTTTCTCGGGTTTCTCGGGTTTCTCGGGTTTCTCGGGTTTCTCGGGTTTCTCGGGTTTCTCGGTGCGCGTCCGCTGTTTGCGCGCGCAATGGTTTTTACTACCTGGTATTTTTAAACTTTAGAGGATTTTACTCTCTGAAATGTTAAAGCTTGGTAGGGTTGTACTATTTCGCGGCGTTTTAATGCTATTATACGGTTTTGCAAGTTGGTATTTCAAATTTTCAAGAGGGCTGCAACTACAACTTCTGGGCTACAGTTGCACCCAATGCTGGCTTTAGAGAGCTTTTTGAAGCTTGTGAAGGGTCATCCAAGAGGTTTCAAGGGTTGATGGACTAGCATATTGGCTTGGAACCAGTTTTAAGGTATACTGAACGGATCACGACGCGTAGGACAGAGTGCGATGATCGAAGCAACTACACGCACAACTAGCTCAGCCCAACTAAGCTACCCATGAAGCCCCAAGTACTGCTGATGGACAGATTCTGGATTGGCTTACATACCTTTCCCAAAAGGAACCATGGTGCCTTCCTCATCAACCGTACACGGCATAGACTGCAGACTGTCCAAATACCCCAACGAACATCTTGCTTCAAATCAAAAAACTAAGCTTCACACACGCTGTAGATCATCATCTTGTGCAGACAGACGGGGAATCTGTGTGTGTATATATACATATAAACATATATGTGAATATGCGTACATGCATCTGGTTTCTGCAAGAGGTGTACACATATCTGTGCATATGCGTATACACACCTATGTATGTATAAGATTGTATATGTATATACATATATGCATTCACATACATATACACATACACAGACACACACTCCTACATCGAGAGAGAGAGAGAGAGCGAGAGTTGCTCATTTAGAAATCAAACGTTCGTAGCTTGCGGTGTATGTAGCTGACTGTGTGTGTGTGTATGTAAGTATGAACGTACGTACGCATGTACGTACGTGCGCATGTACGCGTGTACGTGTGTAATTATGCATGTACATATGTAGGTGTGTACGTATGTAGGTAACGTATGTACGTATGTATGAATTTATCATCGCACGTTTCACATTTAGTTAAGATGCATTAGGCTGCATCCGACCGGGATTTAGTGCCTCGAAATCGAAAGCGATGTATGCATGTGTCTGAAACTTGGTCGCCAACTCGGTACGGCTGGATACCTCGAGGCTGTCCGCCTGCAAGGAGGCGGAGGAGCAGATGACTCCAATAATACAGGAGGATTAACAGGTGTCCATAGGGTTTGGGCGGGGTAGACTATATACTATAATGAGAAAAAGGACTCTTAGAGGACCTTCCTAAGTCTTCCCGAGTCTTCCCCATATCTTAGCTCAGAAGATTCGAAATAATGTAGACCCCTCATTCATACGCAGCTGCTCTCGAACAAGGATTACAACAAGGATATTACGGCATTGACAGGAAGAGGATCCATCTACAGGGGATCAATATTACCTAACAGGGAGCCTTAGCAGCCCTAGCAATGAGAACAAGTTTTACAACTTCAACAATGGTTTGTGTAAGCATTCCCCGTGTGGGTACCTAGCACCGCTTGGGCGTTGAGGCTCCCCCACCAAGGATTTGCATTAACATTTACACTCTGCGCTTAACCTGCAAAGCTTGGTTGAGATTCTGGTGAAAGGGATGCTTGCTAATATTATCTGGAAACTCAAAAACTTCAGCCGTTGAGCGTTCAGGGTTTGGGGGCTAAGGCTTCTATGGAGGAGAGACGCAGACGGTCTTGACAAATACCCTAAGCCGTGAAGCCTGAAACCTAAACCCTGAAGCTCAAACCCGTAACCCTGAACCCTAAACCCTAAACCCCTAAACCCTAAACCCCTAAACCCCTAAACCCTAAACCCCTAAACCCCTGAACCCTAAACCCGCTTTTAGGGTTTTGGGTTGAGGGGCTGCTCAGGTTCACAATTGAAGGGTTCCACAGCTTCAGGGGCTTGGGTTTGTGATCTGGGTCCTAACACCTTTTACAGTAAACCAAAGGTCCGAAACATCGAGAAACCCCCCGAGCCCTGAAAAGCCCCCTACAGTAGAAGCCAGAAAGTTGGAATATGATTCTCCTAAACCCTTTATGGCAAATTATAGGGGATCCTACCGTTAATCCATATTCCAACTTTCTGGAGTTCCCTATAAATCCCTGAACCCAGCAACCTGAAGCTGCTAAATTAAATCTGAGCGGAACATGTCACGAAGCGAACACTTGCGAAACCTGCAACCACAAAGCCTCCAACGTCACACACCGAAATCAGACATTCAGCGCTTCCTCTTTTTTGGTCCTTCTAAATGACTACTGTTCCACTTCTTCAACCCCTGGCTGCAGCAGTCTCATTCCTTGGCGCTTCAACCTAAGCTTCGGGGTGTCTCAGCAGAACTTGGACCTGACTGTTTTGGAGCGGCTTCGGATAGTGTTCCGGGGTACCTTGCACCATGAGAGTTGCAGTAGGAACTTGCCACCATATTCTTTGTTCCGACTCAACGCAGACCAAAGGCTGCGTGCCAGCGACCTAAGTAGCCTTAAACTGTCTGGTTCTTAGTAGGGAATGGGGGAATGGATTCTGGAGACTTCCTCTAGGAGATTCTTTAGGGACTACTACAGGGATCCCCCCCCATTCCCCCAGAGGCCCCAAAGTAGCTCCTTTTTGGGATTACCTAATAGGATTCTAAATATGAACCCCAAAAAAGGAACTACTTTAGGTAACCCCAAAAAAGGAACTACTTCAGGTAACCCCAAACAAGGAACTACTTTAGGTAACCCCCAAAAAGGAACTACTTTAGGTAACCCCAAAAAAGGAACTACTTTAGGTACCAAGCACCAGGTAGTGAAAGCCCAAGAGCCGGGCCAGGGCACGCTGTGCCGCCGCGGAGAGCCACGCCTGGTACATGGAAGTAGGCGTGGGGTCTAGGGTTTAAGGGAATTTAGGGGATTTAGGGTTTAGGGTTTAAGGGAATTTAGGGAATCTAGGGGATTTAGGGTTTAGGGTTTAGGGAGTTTTAGCGTTTTTTTGCATCCCCCAGAGATTCAAGCCCCCTTGCGCTTGCAAAACCCTGCAATGAAAGATCCTCACAGCACCCTCATGTTGAACCCTACTTCGGCCTTCGAGTGTCTTCGCTGGGATTCCTTATCATAAGGATCCTCTGCAAATACTGGGGGTTCTATATGTCTCAAGTAAGCCCTACACCCGTAGCCTCAAATCTTGAACCCTGGACCCATAATTCAAGATCTAATCCTAAAACCTAAACTCTAAGCCCGGAGCTTAAACCCTGAACCCTAAACCCTGAACACCCAAATTTGAAACCCCGACCCCTTTGGTCCCTTCCTCTCTGAAGCTGCCCCTTGCACTGTAAGGATCCTCGCGATCGGGAAGGCTTAGGGTTAGGGCTTTAGGATTCAGGGCTCAGTAGGGTTTAGGGTTCAGGATTCAGGGCTTCGGGGTCAGGCTCGGGGCTTCGGGTTTAAAGTTTCGGTTTGAGGGCTTTACGAGTGCCGCGGTTGTGAGTACTTAGTTAGAACCAATAGGTGAGCGACTCCTAACACCGTTTGCGACAAAACCGCAACCCTCAAGTGAGCTCCAAGCGACGGTAACAAAAAAGCAACACCCGTAAATGCCTGCAACTGTTTCATGCCTCTCGCGCCACGAGCAAGCAGCAACATCTCGAGTAGCGCTCTACACTCCAAAGGACTAGTCCCTCAAGCCCCAAGCCCGCTCAAATGAACCCTGAATCCTACACCCTAAACCCTAGAATCCTACACCCCACTGGAAGTAAACATGCGACCCCCGCCGGCGCTGGCGAAGCTCGCTGTCGGGGGGCCTTCCGCTGCACCTCGCAAGAGCAGCGTGAACTCTGAGGGGTTCAGGGCTTAGGTTGCAACAGGCTCCTTAAGGGGATCTGTAAACCTCCTTCAAACGGCTTTACGTGCTCCCGTAAGAGCGACTCTAGTTTGGGGTTTATGGTTTGGGGGTTTTGATACAGTGTGAGAAAAGGGCCTCTATGACGGGTCTGCAAGGCTTGTGTTCAGGGTTTCTACGGGTTCCATGAAGGGTCAAGAATGGTTTTACAAGGCTCTATGGTTCTATGTAGAGCTCTTTGAGAATATCAGAAAGGCTTTGTAAGTGATGTCATGGAGGGCGCTGCAAGGCTTGCAGGGCGGCATTTTTGCAGTGTCTCATACGGTTTGCCAAGGCTTTGAAAGAGCCTCTGTTAGTGCTTCACAGACGCATCTGCAATTGTGCCCCGGGTTCGTAGAGGGTGTTGTGTTTCCTAGACAGTGTGGTGACACCACTGCCTTCTTACGCTCAGTGCAAAGGGATTCGGGGCGCAATCGTCCAAGATGAGCGTGGGTTACTTTTCCGAGTGCGGACAGTGCCCCGTAACAGTTCTGTGTGCCCAGTGGTTACCAAGGCCGCGCAATTTGGAACAACCTTTTAATTATAGCGAGGGGAAGGTGGGATTGTGAAATATCTACGGCTGCTGAGCCGGGGCAGCAACAGTGTAGGTTGCAAGCTTGTCTTCGCAAACTTGCACGGATCCAAAGCCCTGAAACAAAAACCGCCCTCCACCTGGGGTTTCTCCGGCGCAGCCGCCTTCCACATGTAAGCAACTACGCTTCGGTGTCGGCTCTGAGGCAGGTTCGGCGAGAAAAACACAATCATCGACTTCTCCTGCTGATGGTGATGATGCCAATGGTGCTGATGTTGATCTGCATGATGATTATGATGACGGAGGAGATGACGCTGGGGACCGCCTCACCACCACTATCTTCAGCACCCACACCTGGGGTTATCACCATGGAAAAAGACCTGCGTCCACGTGGTTCCCCTGGGTCTCTTCCCATGCTGTTGATCTAGCAGCCTTATCTTGAGAAACCTGTGCTGATCAGGAGGAAGAAGAAGAAGCTGGGGAGGAGTAAGGTGGCACTTGTGATGGTGATGATGCAGGACTGTGTCTTCAGCACTGCGGCTTATGATGAAGACGACGATGATGCAGATAATGCAGTTGGCGGCATCGACGATGACGGCTCCTACCTACACACGACCCTTAGTCCGGAACCCTAAAGCCCCGGTCAGAAATCGTCTGCTTTTAACCCTAGAACCTGAAATCTAACCTCAAACCCAAGATCGTAAATCTTCGAAAGCCTCCGGTCTCGTTCCCAATTACGACTCTAAACCCTTGTCCATCCACCCAAAGCAGTCGTAGAGCGTAGCCTGCGTAGCCTGCGTACGACACAGCAGCCGCTAACACCAGACAGCGCTGGACCGCCTACGAAAGCATAACTCATATAAACCAAATCCCTTTCTAAAACCTTATATTATATCATATTCTATTACAGTATATTATGTTATATTACATTATATTATACTTATATTTATATTATATATATATGGAAGTCTTACCAGGTTTTACAAAGCCCCCACCCCCAACCTCTGGCAGGGAAGCGACTAGCGTCTTCGGCACCTCCTGACACGAACGCAGGCGACTGCAACACTCCAGGATCCCTTTTTTGAGGGTTCAGGGTTTAGGGTTTAGGGTCTAGGGTTTAGGGATTTTAGGGTTGAGGGTTTTAGGGTTTAGGGTTTTAGGGATTTTAGGCTTTAGGGTTTTAGGGTTTAGGGTTTGGGGTTTTAGGGTTTACGGTTGAGGGGTTTAGGGTTCAGGGTTTGGGGTGTCGGGTTTAACATCTGGGGTTGCTAGAGGTTTCTAAAGTTTGCGGAAGCGCAGTGAGGCGCACAACAAGCCCTGGTTGCGCAGCAATGCGTTTCGCTTCCTCGGTTTAGGGTTTAGTGTTTTTTTTTTTTTGAGCTCCTTTTCTCCGTCGCCTGAAGAGGGTCCTGAGAGGCCGGACGGCCAGGAAATTGTGTGGCCCTTACCGCCAACACATACTCACCCGGAGGCAAAGAAAACCCTCATCTTCACTGATCGCATTCGGAACTCACAACAGGCCCACTCATTGCCCTCAGCAGAAGCACTCAGACGACTCCGATGACCCCTTCTTTACCCTCCCCATTGATCAGCTGCATCAGGTGGTAGCGGACTTAACGGCCGGCTCGCAATCGCAATCCCTGTGTCTGAGTCAACGGTCGTTGGGGCCACAGCCCCCGTCGTCAAGAGGTCCTCCACAGCCTGCTGCATCTGCGCATTCACAATGACGTCACCCTGGTCCGGCTGGTCACCCTCATTTTCGGCCGGGACGGAATGCAACTGAATGGTATGGGCGCCGTCTTCGTCAGCCCATGTCCCCTCTGCCCTGAGCAATTGATATGACTGGAACACCTCCAAGGCATCTGCCCCCAAGCGCTCCTGCACGTACATATCCGTGACCTCACCACGCATCCATTTCCCCAGGAGCCAGTCGTAATCCGACCAGGGCTTGTTAGCAACCGGCACTGTTTCCGCCATGGAATCGGAGTCCGCAGTTGACGTTACAAGCGAGTGCTGAGTAGCCCATTGAAGCTGAATCATCTCCAAGACCTCGCGTCCATAATCTCTCCGTACCTGCTCTAGTGTAGTTTCCCCCTCTGGAGCTTGGCAAAGGGATCATCATAATCCTCTGTTGTCAGGCCTGGGGAGCGCATGTCATGTCCACCCAGTTCCTGTGGCGGGACAGCATGGCCATCCTGCTGCGGCGCCTCGGTGTCGCCCATTGCATCCAGCTCCGCTGTCCGTCCTGGCGGTAGCATTTCAGTCTCAGCCTCACTGGTTCCGCCATCCAGGGGTCGCACCATCATGTAGAGAGAGCCATCCGCAGCCACCGGCATCACCACTCTCCTCGTAATTCGCGGTGCCTCTCCGCTGCCCGAACTGAGCTCCACTTCCACAGCCCGCTTTCGCGGACGCTGTTCGCCATGCATCGCTTGATGTAAGGTCCAGTCCTCCCACGCCTGGTAATTGGCGCCCTCCCTCCGTTGTTCTTCAAGAATATGCGACTTAACCAGGTCCTCCACGTGCGCTTCCTCGGCTTCGTGCCATTGTTGCCCTGGTGCTTCCTCCTCAGGAGGCTCTGCTTGTTCCGCTTCTCTCTCCTGTGCCACGTGGGCATCCAGGATCGATGCCGGTAAATCCCCATGTGCTCCATCCTCCTCGCCTGGCACCGGTTGGAGGTGCGTCTCCCAAGTCTCCGGTGAAGAGGGTGGCGTGTCTTGAGGCAGACAGGTCATGGCTACCCAGGGCGGGCGGTGTGGTAGAAGTGGTAGACCCCGTCGAGACCTGGAGCCACATGCTTGGGAGAGGTAGGGGCGGAGCTGGTTCCACCATTGCATGACCACATCTTCCTTGGGCATGCACTCCACCACCATGGTCTTGGTATCATCCAGAGCCACAGTAAGGAGTGCTAGCGCGTCTGCTGTCCTTCCCCTTGCATTGCCAAGGACATGGCCCGAGGTTTCGTCCGTACAGTACCAGTCCAGCAGTTTGAGGAGCAGCAAGGCAGCCGAGCAGCGGTCTTCAGTAGACATGCCTTCAAGGGCTTGCCGCAGCGACCCAAGTACATTCAACCACGCCTCATCCGAGTAACCATGTGGCACCGTCCCAGTAAGGTGTGTCTGCATCAAGGCTTTGTCATCAGTCTCGGGCTCAACCTCCACTTCAACATTGTTGTTGTTTTCGTTTTCCAGTGCAAGCTGGATAAGGTGGGCCACCGCGTCAAGGATCCGCTGTGTAACCATAGTTAGGCGCGTCATGAAGACAACCCGGTCGCGATGGTTCAACCCTAAGAAGGTCTCCGAGACAATGTTGCACTGGTACTGTGAGGGGAAGCTGTTGGGTGGTGCATCCTCGCCTTGCATCCCCAACACTATAAACCAGAGATCACGTGCCTCTTCCAAGCTCATTGGCGCCCCATCCGGCACTGTGGCAACCGGCGGTGTTGAGGGGGTTCTGGACGATGCCGGTCTAGCTTTCGGTCTTGGGCGTGCCATGGGAGGTCGTGGGTCGGTTGAACATGTAGAAGCCGACGGCGGGTCGCGGTGGGAGCTCGACGGCTCGGTCAGCCGCCGCACTTCTGTAGTGATCACGGCGGGTGGTTCATGACGTCGTTCCCGTCCACTGCTTCGGCTCCTGCTCTTAAGCCACCTGCGATTGATTTGCTTTTTCCCCATAAGAGAAACCGTGTCATCACCTTCTGTCTCCTGCTCGTCCAGGTACTGGTGAGGCTGGGCACACTGCACGGGAGATGCCGTAGGCGAAGGGTACAAGGAGCATGCCGAGGTTGAGTTCGCAGTCTCCTCGCAAGTGCTTTCGCCCTGCGTCCTGATTCGTGAGGAGCATTCCGGAGGTGATTGGGTAGTAGGCACAGACGGCGCCATAGGTCGAGGGTATAAGGGTGCCGCCGAGGTTGAGTCCGAAGCCTCTTCGCAAGTGCCCTCCTCTTGTTCATATAGCATGTGGGGAGAGCCTGACTCCTCTTCGGGGTTGTAGGTCTCCATAATGGAGAGGATGCGGTTGAGCGAAGCCTCGGTGTCCACAGCCCATTCGACCGCATGCTCCGGGGCCCCTGTGCCGGGAACATCATCCGGTCCGAGGGCCACCGCCACTACACGAAGGAAGTTCGCAGCTCTGGCTTTGTAGTTTCGATCAGCCCTGGCATAGACCCTGCGTCTTAGAAGCTCAAAGCACCACGCTGCATCTCCCGGGTCCTCAAGGTTTTTGAGGTAGAAGATCACTTTGTGCATCCAGTTTGCCTTGATTCGCTGCTGGGTGTACTTGGACAGGTCCGGCTCTGTGTTACGTTGCCGTCGCACCCTGTCACTGTCCAGAGCCCTCTGAACCCTGGCCTGCATAGTGAGTGTGGGCCCTTCCTCCGATGAGGAGGCTGAGTTTGTCTCAAGTTCGAGGATTGCCTTGACAATGTCCGGCAGAGCACGTCGGCGTGTGAAGTCAAGGCGCCGTGTGAGCTCGGCCTCATTTTCACCCGCGGGGTCAGGCTGCAAGTCCACGAGCTCCACCGGCAGTTGTCCGGCTTGGGCTTCCAGGTTGACTTGTTCCATGGGGAAGAATGCATAGAGGTACTCCGTGTAGAAAGCATCCTCCATGTATCTCGCCCATAGCATGACTTGGGTGCTCAGCGGCCTGACTTCAGCTTCCACATCCAGGTTCGCGCCGAGGGCTTGTTCCACATCAGCTTCAAGGTCTGCCATGTAATCGAGGTAGTCCTCGTCACCGCGGGCCTGCATGAGGTAGTGCAGAAGCCCGAGCATCGCATTGGGGTTTGCCTCTTCGTTCTGGATCAGGCTGAGAGCCTGAGCACGGCCTGAGACATACCAGTGTGGAGGCCAATCTCCCAAGATTTCCGGCGGTTGGGACAGGGCAGTCCCAGCGATGAGCATGAGGGTCATCACACTTTGAGTGCCGGTGCCGAAGCACCTAGAAGGGGCAGCTAGCAATGCCGGTGCAAGCCAGCCTGCCATCATGAAGATGGTAAAGGCTCCAGCGGAGCCCATCGCCATACGGAAGGGTCACTAGGGTCGAATCTCGCTGGGGTCAAGCTCGGCCCGGGACTTTGCGGCCATCCATAAGTTCTGCGATCTGATTGTCAAAGCCCCTTGTTGTGGTGGAACTGTGAGTAAACATGTCGATGGGGCAACTGCCCCCATACTTGGATCATCAAACCCTTTGTAACGTAGCACAGTGCAAGAAGGTCTCCGTATTGAAGTCCAGCAATAGCACCGTGAAGAAACGGTGAAAACCCTGCATCATAATACCCCTTGAAAGAACCCTAAAGGAGCACGAAGTCGTCGATTGTTGACCCTGCAATTTGCACCCCGTCAGGTCCAGTCAACAATAGCCCTTCCTTCATTCAAGGTCATGCGAAAGGCAGCGATCACGTTATCGAGGACTTCAGGCAAGGCAAGGGGAAGAAGCGGGGAAGGATCTCACGTTAGGCACCTGCTTCCAAACTCAACTGACGTCCTGATGACCATGGTAAATCCTGTTGCTTTAGCCATCGAACCCCTGCCGCAGCCCAACGAGCCCTATCCCTTGCAGTAGTTCTCCAGGGCTCCAGGCATGCGGCATCCATCGCAAGCTCGAGGTTGGTGAGGCGTGCGTAAAGCTTTCCGGTATGGCGGATCCCCACACCTTCAGGCAAAGCTTGTTGGGCGCGCCACCAAGAGAGTGTTCTGAAGTTGTCTATGTGTGCAGAGATCGGTGGTTGTTGTCTGCCAAATGATCTCTCCCTGTGGCCAGCAAATCCCCACCACCTCGTGAGCCAGGTAGTTGACCATCTAGAAACGTTGCTTTTGCAAAGGACAGCCCTCGCAGCCCTTGTGGATCTGCGTCTGAAGTCACACCAAGTTTCATGTGAGGCCTTAGCATGTCGCATGAGCCAGCCGAGTAGCATATTTTGGAAGGAATTCACCAAGCCCAGTGAGTGCTTATCCGGCGGAATCGCGCTGAGGCACCACATAAGTGAATTGGTCACAACCCTGTCAAAAAGCTTGACCCTCCCCACAACAGCAGTGCGACGTGTGAGTAGATGCTTGACAGACCAGAACTTGTTGCGCGCCCGCGTGAGCAAGGGCTGCAGGAACTGGCACGCGGTCATGCCTACACGCATTTCAAGCCCTAAGACCGTGATAAAGCCCTGGTCATGAAGTGTGTGGCCTCCAAGCTGCCTAGCCCTGGTGTCACCGCTGAAAGGAGAACAGTACAGCTTGCACTTCTTGTGGTTGAGTTTCAGGCCATATTCCGAGAGGACCTCTGAGAATTCACGAAGCTTTCTGGAAAGACCCTCGATATCCCTGCCCCACAAGAGTCCATCATCCATGAACAGTGAGTCTTCGAAGGCGAAGTCAGGGAAGAGTTTGGGTCTCGTACTCCACCGGAATCGAACAGAGGTCTCTTGAAGTGCCTGCTCCATTGCAAACGCAAAGAGCATCGGCGATTCTGTTGCTCCCTGCTTTATTCCGGAACACATCTTAAACTCAGATGAACCCCAGGCTGTCTGAAGCGTCGCCTGCGTTCCGCAAAGGAGATTGCGCAAGCATCTGTACTCTGGAGTGTTGCCGAGGCGCTCCTCCAATTTGGACACCAACTTTGCTCGGCTCAATGTATCAAAGGCTTTCGACACATCAATCTGAGTCATAATCAACCCTGCTTTCCACTCTTTCTCAAGCTGGAGAAGTCTCCAAATGGTAAAGATAACATCTGAGGCTTGTCTAGAGCTGCCAGCACATTGGGCGTGACTGGTGAAAGCGAACTGGGGGCCAATCCTGTTAAGGAGCATCCTGGAGAAGAGCTTGGCAGCTGAGCTCCCCAGTGCGATGGGACGCAAATCACCCGGAACAACCGGTTGTTCAACTTTAGGGAGAACAATCAGCAAAGGTTTGTTCCACTCAGCCGGTATTTGCTGTGTAGATAACACCCTGTTCATAAATTCCAACAAGTGCACCTCTCCGCCATCCACGGTGACAACCCCTTGTAGCAATTCTTTCGACGTCAAGTCGCGTCCCACTGATTTGGATCCCTTGAGTTGTGCCAGCGCCCCTTTAAGATCAGCAAGCGTAAAAGCCTGCACCTCCTGAGTGGTGTCATACATTGGGGTGATGTCTTCTCCTTGGTAAATACCACTAAGGTGCTTGTGGACCGTCTCATGTGGATCTCGTGGTTGCCGGTCTGCATACTCAATTTCCCAACCTTGCTTGACTGCCTGCTTACATTGCCGGAAGGCCTGCCAATCCCCGTTGAGAGCCCTGTCCTGCCTAGCAAGTTCCCAGGCTCTCCTGGCATCGCGACGAGCTGCAAGAGCTTGTTTCCAGGACTCCCTCGACTTAGCAAGCTTAGCACGACGGAAGAGGTGCTTGACTTCGTCGGGGTCATGGTACGCATTGCTGGGCTTAGGTTTTGTACACGAAGTTGCCAGCGACTCCAAAGCCTTTTGGTCGAGGTAGGTGATCTGCTTGGGACCCCCAGTCCACACCCTCGGCTTGGTCTGGAACCTTTGCACCGGTTTACCCTTAGGGAGGGCAAACACACCCTGTAGAAGTTCATGGTCCGTACCCAGTGTAAAGCAAGAGTCGCGGAACGTAGTGACCCCTTCATGCCTAAGGCGAGCCGATGCCACAATGTCAATCTGCCGCCCCTGTCTCCCTTCCTGTCTAGGCCTAGAAGTAGGTAGATGCCTGAACGGGGAGAGTGGGGCAGCAATGGAGAGCCCGTGTTTTGCCAATCGATCCAGGAAGAGAAGTGCCTTTGCGTCTCTCCCGAGTGTTTCCACCGATCCGTCCAAGTCAGACCAACCAAAGCTCGCATTCACATCCCCCTGCATGATAATTTGATTCTTCCCTTTGGGCATTCTCTGTAGGTAATTGTCAACTTGTGTGGCAAAGCAGTCAACCGTACATCCAGGTGTAAAGTGAAAAGTCGAAACCCACAGTTCGAGACCATCCCTTACCCGGCGGACTTTCAGCCAGATCCCTTTTTCAGCAGTGGATCGGCGAAGCACTGACCACTCATCCTTACAGAACATAAGCCCTGTCCCTCGCCATTGTCCTTTGTGCTGGAAGGAAACAACCGACCATCCGTCTTGCGTCCAGGTCGACCAGCCATCTTTACCCCTCGGAACTTCTTGAAGAAGGAGAAGGTGCTCTTTACGAAGCGGATGCCCTGTACCTTGGCGAACGGCCTCCGTGATATTAACCAGTTCAGCTCCGCCAACATTCCAGCCATAGACCCTGAGACCCTCTACATCCGGAGTCGTTGCACGTGACGGAGGCAATCGATGTACCCCTCGTCTCATTGAATTACTCCCCCCACTTCCCTCCGTCTTCTTGACAGCTGGTCTGCGAGAGGATTGCGGGGCAGTCGAAGAAGATTGCTTGACGTAGTCCCCCGTCGAAGAAGGTAAACCATGCATTGGTCCGACACTCACAGCATCGCGTGAATTCTGCGGCCTTCCCAGTCGTTGCACGTCGGCTTGGCATAGATGCAACAACCGGATAAGGCGGTCAAGGTCCACACCCTGTCACCTGCGATTGGCTTCAAGAGCCGATCGCAGTTTTTCCACAGGCCACTTGGATTCGCGGGCAAGTGCTCCCAGGTCAACCCATTGCGTCGCCGTCTCCTCTGACGTCTTGGTGAGGAGCTCATGGGACAGCGAGCCGGTTCGAGGCTGCCTTTGGACGCTCGCCACCAGACTTTCCCCCAGCCACACCGAACCTGTTGAGTACTCCACATCCACTGCTCTTGCCAGATCATCTGCCAGGGCACCAAGAGATCTCTTCACCCAGGAGCAATGGGCTCCAACCTCACGTTCTCCTCTCGATTTGGAGTAGCTGCACCACAGGCGTTTACCTGCAGATGTAGTTGCCTCAGCCCCGTTGATGGTAAGGAGGATCTTGTGCATTCGAGCACGCCTGGCTGAGTCACTTTCGCGGAGGCGGAGCGGCATGTTGAGTAAGGCAATGGACCTGCGAGGTCCCGTTGTGAAGACCTCCTCATCCACCTGTGTGGTAAGGCCCAGTCTGGAGATCGCCTCAGTGAGTTCTTGCACAATGACGGATCTTCTGGTGTCCCGCTCCCAGCCGCCGAACACTAGTGTCTGGCGGCGCCGGTCTTCTTCGCCATAGCCAGCAGATCCCTTCTTGAGCATACCCTCGAGTTTATCCAAACGGCCCTGGACTGCTTCCATGCCGGTGGACAGATCTTTGGTTGATTGCTCAAGCCCATCAATGCGCGCACCTTGACGCTGTTCCAGTGCAGAGACTAGCCCTTCAGCATGGGTGCGGTTGGCTTGCAGGATCTTAGATGCTTGCTCGTCCAGAAGTAGGCGCAAGTCCCCCAACGTGATGTTAGCAAGACTGGACTTGTCATCCACCAAAGTAGGCACGGCATCCCCCCCGGAGGGGCGTTCAGCCCTTTTGGCTTTATTCGGCCCGCCTTGCTTCGGCTCCGGATCCCTCTTCTTGGTAGGACTATCCCCTCCATCATCGAGATCAGCATCATACTCCGGCACATTCATCGCAGGGAACCCCCCCCCAGTTGCAGCCCTTTCCGCGCCATGCTAACGGACCGCTTCACCTGGCAGAGTCGTACGAGATCCCGACAGAGTCCACTCGCACCCCTCGGCCTTGAGCCAAAATGGCTTGGCTCTGAGGGTTTAGGGTTTAGGGCTTAGGGTTTAGGGTTTAGGGTTTAGGGTTTAGGGTTTAGGGTTAGGTAGGGATGTCGCCTTTCGTGCACTGCTGCCCTTCCGGTCTGAATAGCAATGAGTAAGTGGGAAGCCTCCCTTGCTTGCCAGAGTCTCAAAGAATGCTCGTTACCATCCCATGCCACAATGCCCTACTCCGCGCTGGGTGGCACTAGAGGAAACATCTCGTGATCGACGGGTTATGCAGACCGAGTAATGCGGTAAGAACGCGGTGATTTGAGGTATGAAGAGGCGTACAGAGGAGGCCGCTCCAGCGCGACACTTGGGACCTGGCAGTGGTTCTGAATCCTGCATCAGTCTCTGAGACCCCTGCGAAACCATGAAAAGCCCAGAGCTTTAGCAACTTCTCATGCCAACTTCCTGGCTATTTAGAAGATTGAAAGCTCCTCCTGGGGCTTCTCCACCGATGCCGCCATCGAGGAAACTGGAGGAGATGAGGTGGAGATTTTCCCATGGTGCCCTTTGTTCCGCGATAAGGCCGAAGCCTTGCCCTGAAACCCCCCCAAATCCCTGAGGCCCTGTACCTTCTCACCTGATTACGAGATCAGAGGTCGTGAGTAGTACACCCGTAGGACAGGCTTAGGCTGGGGATGGACAGAATCCGTTTTGCACGTAGAGTTTCCATCGTCTTTACAGCACAGCCGTTTAAAGTACTACGGGTTTGTCGAAGTCGGGCACGCTACTGTGGTCCTCACTACAAGTACATAGGACTTGTCCAGGAGTCGAGGCTTGGGCTTTGGGTTCAGATTTAGGAGCTCAAGGTATCTATCTGCAGTGGTCTTGATCCCTCCCAAGCACTAAAACACCCTAACCCTAAACCCTTTGCCCTAAACCCTGAACCCTAATCCCTAAACTCCGTATGCACGGCTCCGCTTCTACGGCAAGCTTGCGGAGCCCCTCCTGCCATCCACAGGCCAAAAAATCACGCATCTACCGCCTAACAACTGAACAAAGGTTTGTTGTTTTGGTGTATTTTGTCTGCTAAAATGGCGTTGAGTCATAGGGACCCTTAGGGGGCAAGGTGCATCTTAAAGAATAGTTGTACAGGGACCGTATTAAAGGACGGATCCTGACAATTGTCAGCTCTCGAGATTAAAACGCATACGGTGTACACTTGCACAAATCACTCCAAAGCCTAGCCCTGAACCCTGAACCCGAAACCCTTGTAACCCTGATACGCCCTACAAAACCGGTATAACCCTAAACCAATACCCATAAACCCTGAACCCTGAGACCCCTGCCCCGTGCAGAACCATCGCTTGAAGATCGAAGTCCTCATGTGGAGGTCCATGCAGGCGGGAGGATCTAGAAAGTAGATCCCCTAATTTGGGGCCCTATACCACTACGGATACTTTATCGGAACCCCCATTAAGGGATCTACTTTTGGGATCCTCCCGCCAGTCTGAGGTTTAAGGCTTCTTAGTGCTCGGGATTAGGGCTTTAGGGTTGGCGCTCTTGGGTTTCGAGTTGAGGGGCTTTCCGGGGGTGATCAGACTTGTATGCTTGTGGGATGTCCTGGAATGTTGAGTCGACCTCCATGCTACTGCCAGCTCTACTTCGTGGCTGTGAGTGTTAAAAGGTAGCACATGTAAGTAAGGCGATGCGAGAAGATGTATTTATACTCGTGCAACATAGTCATGCGGTGAAGTGGCGAGACATGTGATGTGATGTGGTATGATGCGGCACGAGCAACGTATGCAATATGATGCAGTCTACTGCAATGTGCAATGCAATCAGGAAGGTTGGTTGTGTCGTGGTGTGCTGTGCTGCTCCGTTCGATGTTGTGCTGTCTTGTGCTGTGTCGTGTTGTGTTGTGCTGTGCTGTCGTCTCGTCTGCTGCACTGTGCTGTGCCATGCGTTGCTGTGCTTTGCTGTGCTGGGCTGTGTGCTGTGCCATGTTACAGTAGGCTACGTGATTCGCTGCTGTGCTATCTGTCATTCTTTGCTCTGGTGTGGTGTGCTGCGTGATTATGTTATGGTACATTGTGATATCTTAGTGGATGTTTTGTTGCGATGTTTTTTGACTTTGTTATGTGAAGTTACATTGCGGTATGCTGCATACAGTTATCTGACAAGCTCCATTACATCCTGCATGTACGCCTGTATCCGCATATACTAACTTGTATGTAACGGACGTATGTATGCATGTACCCTAATAATCCTGAACCCTCAACCCTCGGAAAAGCCCCTACGTCCGCAGCTCCGCAGCCCTTGCGTGTCCTTGGGGAGATATCGATGCAACGGACGGTCCTCGGATAGAGGGGTTTAGGGATTAGGGACTGGGGCTTTGGGATTAGAAGGCCGTTGTTGCTGCTTCATAGAGTTGTAGCAGGATTTATCCGGCTCCCATATCATGAGTCTCCAGTACAATACACCGCAAAACCCAAAGGTTGAGAGGAGTGGGGGTTTAGGTTTGGCGTAATGTAGGGGCCTGAATAAAAAGAATAGGGTTTTGGGGACCATTATACTATAATCATACAAAGGAACTCCCAAAATAGTAGAGCCCCTGCATTAGGCTGTAGGGCTCAAGGACTTAGGAGTGGGGTTCAGGGCTGTGGTTGCTTAATCAGGCTTCCCGCTCTTAGGGAAGGGCACCGCGCGGAGGGATGGACCGTATCGGTGGAGCTTTCTCAGGTTCTGATTTTGCGACAGTTTGAGGAATCTAGGGAATATTCCCAACCTCAAAGTAGGAACCGCATTATAGAAAATCAGCGACATCAGCGAAAGACCTGGAACCCAGCACCAAACTCTAAACCCCAAACCCTGAATCCTAAAGCCCAAACCCTTAAATCCCAAACCCCGAATCCCAAAGCCCAAAGCCCTGAAGCACTACTATAGTGGCCTGAATTATGAGAATAGGGTTTTGGGGCCCTTTATACTATAATTAAACGTATAATAAGCAAGCCCAAAAATAGTATAGGTAACTCTTTAGGCCCCTATAGTAACGGCCCTGGAGCCTCGGACCTCTCCGAGCCCACAACTCCCGTGCTGAGCACAGCACCATGTTCCCCTTGTCCTTGAGACCCATCGTGGTGAAGAGGGGGCTCCTTCAAGGGGTTTAGGGTTTAGGGGTTTTAGGGTTTGGGGGTTGAGGGTTTAGGGTTTAAGGGTTTAGGGTTTAGGGGTTTAGGGTTTAGGGGTTTCGGGTTTAGGGTTTAGGGGTTTTTGGCTTGCGGGTTTAGGGTTTCGGGGTTTAGGGTTCGGGTTTAGGGTTTACCATGGTGCAGAGGGGGGCTCCTTCCAGGGGATACCATGGTGACGAGGGGGCCAGGGTTTAGTAAGTTTGAGGGCTTGGGGTTCGGTTAGAAGGTAAGACAGAGGCCTTATTCATTGGAGTGGCGTTTTACGGTCTGGAAGTTCCGGATGTGTATAAAAATAATATGGGCGCTACTTATTCCGACCCCTATACAGGCTCCCTCGTGGATTTGAGCAGATATACGGATGCATACGGTTTGAGCCTGAAAGGGGTCATGATGCTAGGATTTTGGGGGCAAGCTTTATAGAGATGTAACACCTTTCAAGCCCGAAAAAGCCCAAAGAAAAACACCAACTCACCCTCCTTTCACCCAAAAAATCGCGAACTCGCAACCCCTCGGCCTTAAACCCCTAAACCCCTAAACCCATAAACCCTAAACACTAAACCCAAAGCCTCTAAAACCCCTAAACCCGCAAATCCCTAGCCCGCAAACCCTAAACCCAAAACCCCTAAACCCCTAACCCTCTAAACCCGAAACCGCTACACTTTTAGCGTTTATGTAGCCGTTACAGGAACCTTTCAACGGACCCTAGCCTCGGACACGAAGGAAGCCGGCGAGAGCCAGGCGAAGCAAGGAACAAAGGCCTCTTGCTGGGCTTCGGGGGTGTAGAGATTTTGGGACTTTGCGTTTAAAGTCCCTTGTACGGGCTCGTTTTGAGGGTTCCGTTTGCGGGTTCGCTGAAAGGCTGCATCATCGAGGTTCTTTGAGCTGTTTACGGTTTAAGCTTTAGTTTGTCCTTTGTGCCTTTAGGCTTTTGCGGCAGCAATAAACCATGTTCTTTAGATAGACCTAATAATCGAATCCCCAACAAGAGCAAAAACCTCATTGGCGAAGTATGAATGCAAACCGCACTATGCGTCCTTCTGGTTGCAGCCTCGTGTGAAGTAGGATTCATGTCATAGTACTAGTATCCCAACAATAAAGAGCACCCAAAATCGACGCTCATCAATCTGTAAGCCCCGACAAAGACGCCCCATATGGACTCCGCGCATTGGCCTTTAGGAAGCCGGAGGACGCCATGGAATGGACAACAAGGCCGTTACATGGAGCTCGTGGGTCCCAAGAACTCTGTGGGTGTAGGGCTGGTGGGAGTAGGGCTTTAGGGTTGGAGGTGGGGCTCCGGGCTCCGGGTTTGGAATTTAACGGGTTGGCTGCGGCATATGCTATGTTTGCGCTTGGTGGTCCGCAAGCTCATGGCCCCGGCTTTTGATATGTAGTAAATCTGCGTGCATCCTCAACGCTAGCTGCTGAAGCCCAGGCGCTAAAACCGTAAACCGACTTCAACGTCCCTAAACCGCCTAAACTTGCCTGAACTCCAAGCCCTAAACCCTGCACGTCGAGTTGCCAGCTTGAGAAATTATTGGCACGTATGACTGGGACTTGGGGTTACCAGCGAAACAACCAAACCAGGGCTGTTGTTTACGAGCCCCAATCGGAGGATGCGTCAGCCGCACAGCCCAGAAACTGTATGATACCCTATGGGACGATTACGCAGGCTGGTACAAACCCTAAACAAATCTGGGTTTAGGGCTTAAGTGGGCGAGCAGAAGCGATGCGAACAAGGGCTACGTCCACGGTGTTCCAAGCCGGGTGTGGGAATCAGGATCCTGGTTCAAGATTCAAGCCAAGGTGTAATGGTTAGACTAAGTTTCTGTGG